AGAAATGGGCAAGATGGCTCAAACAATCCCCAGCAACAACGGAGAGAGGCATTGTTTGTTATGTATAAACAGCTTCTGGTGTCTGACATGTGTAATCATACTGTTCATGCCGTCTTGAGAGGACACACAAACACATAGTTAGACAGTCATAGGCGTATATAAAGAGATAACTGTAATAGAGGTGCCCACAGGTACCCACTCTTACTTGTGTCTGTGTACCAGGTCCACAAAGGATGATGGAAGGATTCATTGATATTGTTACTGAACAAACAACGAAAAGTGTTTGTGTCACTTTGTTGTATTTGTAAATTAAAACTGGAGATAGTTGTCATTACTGTCCCTGCAACATCTTGTAACCATAACTTACAGGAGAAAATAACATCTTTGTATTGCTACCTATAGTCAAAGCACAGAAACAGCAGAAATTACTGTATTACCTCACTACTTTATCCTGTTCTTTAAATATTATATATCTTATATTAGAATTATGACAGAATTGCCAAACAAGCAAAAAAGATAAAGCATTATGTGGACTCTTCTTTCATATTTTGTATGTTTGCCTGCAGATGAAATGGAGACTATCATTCAAAAATCATCCTATTGCAGTTTTGTTTATATGTGTATTCATGGGTGTCAGGTCGAATAAATGATCTTTGACCAAACTGAAATTAACTTGAAATTGCTAAATAAAGTAATAATGGGTATAGCAAATCCATAAAATGTACTTAGTTATCTAGCACCACTGCACAAACAATGAATCAGATAAACTGAACTGCGGTTAGAGTAAATTATTGTTTGTCAGCAATTAGGGAAACATCCGTGCATGATGAGATTTATTACTGATAATTATATGCAATGGTAATTTTGTATGCATCTTTTGAAAAGCTTATTACATACTCTTAGGTGAAACACATGGATGGTCTGAATGGATACAATGCAGTTTGTAGCATCAAAAATATTTGATTACAAATGGTTAGACCGGTGTTCTAGGTCAAGTCCAGTAGAGAGCACTTTGAACAGCAGTTGTGTGCCAGGAAAAGAACATCGCAATGAAGTATTCAAAAGTGTAAAGGGCACTATTCAACTACTGGTGCTGTTTTTGTTTACACCCACATTCAGTTATAATGGGATATATACTTTCTCTGGAGATTAAAGAGGTTTAAATACATTTGGAACCCTACTAGATGCATACAATTTGACTACAGTTTATGCTTTTGATTACCTTGAATACATGTCGAACTTCATTTTGACAGTGAAAACCTCTCCAGCCTGGGGACTGGATGAGTTCAATTATGCTGCAGCAGACATCAGCATCTGTCCTTGACTAAAGAGATATTGCTGACCCCTCCCCATCCCCCTTTGTACAGGAAAAGTCCATCCCCGAGGCTGTGGTGTCATAACCATATCCTCCCAGCATATTATATTATCCAACAGTATTTGATCACTGCCTCAGGCAGGCAGGAGAAAAACAAGAGACATCTGATTGACAGGGGGAGAGAGAAGCATGAGATAAGGAGTGACTCAGACACTAAAGGAGCGAGAAACAAAAAGAAGGGGGATGCATTTCCTGTGGCCTGTTGTGATATTGTCAGTGGAGAGCGGTAACAAAGCCGATCGTTAGCCAGGGTGGCTCTCTAATTGTCTTGCTGACAGCAATTAGATGGCACTTGTTAAAGCATTGAACCTTATTAGGTTACAGAGCACTCACAGCAGGAGGAGACAGTGCAAAGTGTAAATGTGTCTTAAACTATGGGACAGGACCCAAAATTGGTGGACGGCCAAGGTGACTGCCGGTGGGTCATCGTTTTTCACAATAATTAATGAGGCCGGGTCTTTGGGTGAGAGAACTTCACATTTGGCTGCTTGTTTGATTAGGTTAATGGGCTAATCATCAGATTACTCACCTGTATAAGTGGGCCTAAGGAGATGTTAGAGAGGCTCGTAAAGGTCCACAGGGTCCTCACCAGTCCCATCCAGTGGAAAACAGACAAGACCAATTGATAACAGGCCTGTCTAGTCCAGTCTAGTCCAGCTTAGTCTGCATCAGATCACTGCACAGTCTGAATCCTTAACCAGTGTATAATTCCAGTTGAGGCTCCGCTGCGTCCAAGTTTGGGTCCAGCTTAGTTCAGGTTTTTGTTTTATACTACATGTGCTTTCCAGAAACAGACTTTTGATTGAGAGATAACAGGGTCCAGTCAAGGTTGAGATCCAGCTCCAGGACCAGCTCAGCTCAGTTCAGTTTAGCACAATTGGATCAGTCCATATGGATGAATGGAGTGGTGCTACTTGGAGCCAGCCATGTTGAGAGTCCCTTATGTTCATTTGAGACAGAGTGAGCCATTATCATTCGAGTGCTGAACACATCTTCATATCCAAAGCCAAAAACAAAATGTGTGTAATATTATTCCCTTTCTGTTTGTGCAGTCTATCATATTGTATATCCGGGTTATGTGTGATTATCTATGTATCAAACTTTTACTGTCTGTCTGTTAATACCATCCACTCGGTATCATCATTTTGATGCTGCTTCAGATGATGAGAAGTTATTCACATTTTCTGCCTATCTTTATTTTGTAACACGTTCACATACCTCTTTATGCTTCCTTTTTAAATTACCTATGAACATTGTATCCATTTCCACTGATACAAATGTTTCAAAGTGGAAAATCCAGCATTCAGTGTGTGCCGTTCCATGAAAAAGGTGATTTATGATGATCACACCGAAAGCTGGATCCTGCAGGAACTGGCCAACCAACAGCCAATGAGACACCGGGCCTTGACAAATCCAATCCAGACATGACAACCAAGATTGGCAGTTAATAGTACACCAGACAGTTTAGTTCTTTTACCCAATGTTATTCATGGAAACAGAGTGATGGGTACGGTAAACAGGAAATATGGGAATGGATCTTAAGGGCTTTTTTTCTTCAGTGTTCACCAGCTTCTCCCCGGTGGTGACGTTCTCCACATCTGCCACTCAGAACAACAACGTCAGGGTTCTAGAGAACAGAAGAGTAAGAAAACAAAGAAAGTAGAACATTAAAATCACAAGTTAGGCTAGATGGAAAACTACATTTCTGTAAGGACTGAGCAGTTCTAAAAGGGACTATTTGGCACAAGGGGGTTAAAAGGATCAATAAAACATCAGGGATGTAGTGTAGGACGTCAGGTCTTGACAAAAGGATAGAAAATGAAGGTTCTTGGAACAAAATATTTAAAACAGCACAGGTCTAGAAGACACAGTTTGGCAACTGTGGGATCTGGACTATTCCAGTTAGAATTCCAATTACCACAGACCATTTTTTATCCCTAGTGGTTACATCATACTTTATTCCAAACAAATGGAAAACAAGGAGATGGCTAACAATTCAGGATGTTTCTACTTTTTGTCAGGTTTTTGTTCGGTTTAAGTGGCATGTCCGACATAATATCCATTGACATCTTACCTAGCAAAATGGTTTTCATTTGTCCCTTTGGAAATCTTTTTTTAGACGAGAGATTCAACAAAAGCCTGCGTAAACGAGGTCTGCTGACAATGGAAAGCAAAGAAATACAATAGCTTGGAGATTGATGAAGCTGTACTTTTTCGCCACAGCTGTTATTTGTAATGTGTATGTTTATCAGGAGAGCATTTATTTTCCATATTTGTTAACTGCACTTACTGTATGTACAGCCAGTGCTTACTGTGTCAGATTAAGAACGAACGAGTCTTCTTAATGCCGCAGTCTGTATTCATCCATCACAACCACAACACATCAACACTGTCTTATCCTCCATCATGCTCCACTCCTCTCCCCTCTTCTCCTCCATCACCCTTTGCACCACGCAGATGGATGAAGGAGATGGGGTGATACAGAGAGTGGAGCGGAGGTGGCGGTATGTCGAGACGACAACGCAGTGCGAGTTGTAAAGACATGGATAGAAAGGACATAAGTGATAAAAAGTTGCTACACAGACAACTGAATTGAAAACGGATAGGGGGAAGGAGAGGTAATACAGGATTAAAAAGAAACAGTATGTGCAAACAGAGAATTAGAGAAAAGGGAGATGCCAGCAGAAAGGAGGCAAAGGAAGGGATGAGAGAATGAGTATTAGAAGTGAATACAATTAAGAAAATCAAGGAAACACCTAAGATAAGAAGAAAAACTATAAAGAAAGATATATCATTAAAAAGACAGAGAGGGAAGGATCAGTTCACCCACCTGACAAAAAGTCACTTCCTCTAGGGGTGTCTAGCCATGCAGTTTAGTTTAGCAAATTTTGAGATGCTTGTCCTGGAGATTCCTGCCTCCCCCTATGAAATAATGGTGAATGGAATTGTTTGTGTTGCTCATAACATAGATCAATTTCATCTTTGAAAACTTACAATGGCCTTTCAAATCACAGCCCAAAGTGACAATTTCCGTGATTGTCCAAAACCCAAAGACATATTTAGTTTACTCTCATATATGACAAACTGGTATTATCACATTACATTTGAGAAGCTGGAATCTGAAAATATTTTAAATTTTTTCTTGAAAAATGACTGAAATTAAAAATTTGATTATCAAAATAGTCTATTTAATTTCTGTCGAATGACAAATCAACTATTCAACACATTTCTTCGGCATTTTTCTGGGCTGTGAGAACCACAGATTCAATGCTTCATTGTATTGTGATGGAGGCAGGAATCACAATGGTTTGGATATCTCAAAACATCAGCAGACAAAATCACAAGAGGAAAGTTATTGAGCTGACCAGAAAAGAAGAAACCCCAAAAGAAAGGCTCGGATGGTGGTAGTGACACAGGGTGAGGGAAACGAAGAAACTGTAGGTAGACTTTAAGGAAGAAAAAATAATCCAGGGACTGCTCAGGTTTTTTAAGTGCCAGTCATTACTCTTTGCTTGTAGTCTGGGCGCGCGCTTTGTGAGGCCAAGAGACCTTCAGATCTTAAAGTCTCTCCATTCGACACTATGAGGCCGCCTGTCGTCTGCTGCTGGAGGCGTGAGAGAGAGAGAGAGAGAGAGAGAGACAGAGAGAGAGACAGAGAGAGAGAGAGAAGGCAAAAGAGTGAGAGAAAGACATTGAGAACAACAGTGAAAATCTGAGGAAAACACATATGTCGACGGAGCAAAACAGCAAAGAAAGTAAGCAAAAATGTCAGGATAGTCAAAAAGCTGGTTGAGAAGAAAGACCAGAGAAAGTGACAGAGAGAGCTTGAGAAACACTTTGTGAGGGGGGAGAGAGAGATATGGGGGGGTATTGCGAGAGATGAATTTAGAGAGACAGATGGCAGTGAAAAATGAGGCCGGGCATACGGGATGACACTGAAAGGAGTGGTGATAGATTAAAATACATGGAGGACAGACAGGCTACAGGGTCATGGATGGGCCATGGGGAGAACACATTCTTGCACTTCTCACAGAGTCACACACATCCCCGTGTTGTCCTCGGCTTTTTCACTATCTGGCCTAACCTCGTGGGAACATTTACACTGGCTCAAGGCGGTTAAACCTTAAACCTTGTGCACAACACACCAATGCATGCACAGACCGGCAGGGATTTGGTAGCCAAGCTTACATACACACACACACACACACACACACACACACACACAAACACACACACACACATTCATCACACTTGTTTTCATCCCTGTGAGGACATTATATTGACTTCCATTTAGGTACATGTCTTAACCCCTTAAAATGAATGGTTTACCTTGAGGAAACATCATTTTTGTCCCCAAAATGTTGTTAATATATTTCACACACAAACACACACATTCAATGCCTGTTTTTATACTAATAGCACTTTGCTTGAAATAATCATAAAATGTTTGTGTCAAGCATATAATTATTGATAATCTTGATAGAAAATTGCCCACTTAGTATTCAGGTTAAAGAGATACTTCTGATGCTGACTCCACATGCGGCATCATGCCACAAGCTAGAGCTAGAACTCCAAGGTGAATCTCTGATTGTCAAAATGTTCCATACTGTCTATTTGTTCATTGATTTATTTTTCTAACTGAGGGATAGGTTCAGATTTTTATGTAAAATACAATAAAAACATAACCACATGTACAGGATATCTGTTGCTGTGTTCATGCCTGATTCCCTCCCGGTATAACTATACTCTAAAGGATGACGGACGAAATCCTCAGTCCTTTGGTGCAAACAAATGCATTTAAAGGCTCAGCAGAAATGATGAGGTGAGACAGATATATTGAGTATCTCCCAGAGTTATTGAAGAATTAGGACGACCAGGGTATTCCCTCTGCCTCCTTTCTGAGCCATGGCAGGGGGATACAATAGAAAGTAAAACAAATACAGAATTTTGCACTTAAAAGACTGGCACTAAAGACTTAGACCTCTGAAAATTGATATTAACTTAAATTAAACTTTAAAATGCATCTTTACAGAGTGAGGAATATCAACTTTGTCTTCAGTTTCTTACATTATTTATTATTATTATCTCTTGCACCAGTGGGTACATCACAAAAGAACAAACTCTTTCAAAATGAGTCTCTGGTAGGTTAATATTTGTTTTTATCTATAGCAAACCCCAATTATCATGAAAGCTGTTTTCCGTTCAAAAAAAGGAAACATAATCCTATAAGCACTTCTCAAAACAAGATTTACCAAATTCAAAATGATGTATCCAGTTCACATATGAATGTGAACAAAGCAGTCTATGAAAAGCAAACAAACACAAGAACTATCACCCACAATGTGCCTATTTTTTCATGTTGGGTTACATATCTGACAACCGTGGGCCTTTAATGGGGCCTCTCTGTGTATCTGTCAGCTGCTCTGTTCCTCAGGCGCTCTGACTCACTGCGGTTCTCTCTCTGATCAGATCAATGTTGTCTTTCTCTGCAATGCAGCAACCAGTGAAACACATCAGACACGGCTACACCCTGAGAAACCCCAACAGCTTCCGTACACACATATGTGTATCATCCCTCATTGTAGGTTGCCCTCAAAGTGCCAGCGATCCTGGAATCAAAGAGAGGAAACACGGAACACAAAAGGCCAGCGGTAACTTTCTCCTCCTGGGTGAAGCGTCAAAATGAAAACTTTAATAATTGCTTTGTTTGTCTGCGTCGTTGCAGTCTGGGATGATCTTTGGAAGCTTCTTTGAGTGACACACTTCAGTCAGTGTTAATTAGGCCTATAGGGGGAACCTTTGACTTTGCACATTTGGTGGCAACTCATTGCTACAAGAAAGAATCATCCATGCTAATTCCTTGATCCCAGTTTGCAAAATTATCTCCTGTGACAGCCCAAATGAGCACTCCTCGACTGCGCTCCTTTGTAACTCCTAGTTGGCCTTCAACCTTCTGAACAACAAACTTTCCCCCTCATAGCTTCAGATGTGAGAAAAACAACTAGAAAACAACTTGTTCCTATGATGTTTTTTTATCCAGTAGCCTATTAATGAGAACAACCTCTTGACACCATCAAAAATCTCCACAACTCTTCTTTCATAATATCATTATAGACTGTGATGTGAGCTCACTTAATTTGTGAAAAATGTCCGACTAACTAAGATCTATCAGAGTCCACAAAGGTGAAAACCGTCCCTGAACTCGTTTGCTAAGCCGCTGCACAGATCTCTCGTCTCTTTCCCGCTATCAACGTGAGGCTCAATGACACCTCATTTCAACCCATACAAAGAGGCCAATTGAATTGACATATCAGTCGCTGATAAAGAAGTTCAACTCAGCTGTTTAAGCCACTCATGTGAAATGGTGTCTCCATTTATTCGTTCTAATGAAACCTCCATTTCCTGAGTGGATTAGTGTTAAAGGAGAAGCGCACTGAAGTGGGTTTAGCACATTAAAAATCTACCCGGAAATAATATTCTCATGCTCTGTTGGATTATTTTACTATTATTATTATTATTATTATTATTATTATTATTATTGTAGCTCTATTGAGCATTTTAAGCCATCTTTGTGATCAAGGCACTTCAAAAGATTGAATCAAGAGACTTGGGGCCTGATTACATAATAAGACGGTTTTATCGAATAGCCTTTGCTGGCAATGAGACAAAAGTTACATAAAAATCATTTTTCCATCAGTACATCGCATGTTAAGGAAAGAGTATACCATCCTATTATTATCACGCTTTTACCGTCATGGGTTTTTGCACTACTTAGATAATACTGTGAATACACAACAACAAACCTAAATGAATTATTACAATTTCAGTTGAGAAAAAATTGTCTGTGTACCTTTCTGTTTCTCACCTACTGTCAACCAACTGACAGCTATTTCCTGTCAGTAAGGCAGGAGCAACTACTGTGGAAACTAAAAATACTTTAGTCAAGCTGGCACAAGAGGTCAATCCACGGGCAGACAAGAGGCGGGACATCAGGTGACAGTGAATGGTAGCCTGAAGTTTAACTAGTACTAATAGTTTTAAGGCTGGAAAATCTTCAGAAAGTAGTTTTATGTTCCAGCACAGTCATGGATTTGTTTAATGTCTAGGTGTCAGAGAGTTTTCATCACAAATCTTGGCTCTGCTGTCCAAGGTCTTCCAGTCTTCTTACTGTATAGCAAATCATAAAAGCCTTTTTCTGATGTTTTTTCTTCTTCTACGTATTTTAGCATCCTTTATCGTTGAGGAACAAAGAGAACACTCTAGGGGGCAAAATCTGAACTGTGAGTGTATGCATCTATCTGAACATTCATATGCTGTATTAAATGTTGTTTGTGAAGAGAGTGTCAGAAAAATGTCTTTTATCGGGTAACGAATAATTGAAAACAGAATATTCACAGCATAGACACTAATGAGAGCATATCAGCCCCTTTAAAGACGTAATAGCGTCTTTTACACAATGTATGCACACAGATGTGATAGCTAAAAAGACAAATCCAGTTTTCAAAAATTGCAAATGTTTAACTTCCTCATAACGATATTTTTTATAAAGGGGTTTGGTATTGAACTTTAGGCAACCTTCAATAGCCTTCTTTTCTGTACTGAAGCAACATTCTTTTTTACTCTCAACAGCTCTGGTTGTGTCAATTTCAATGCAAACAAGCCTTCTCAGGGTGCTTAGTCTAACAGTTTGTAGCACCTGAAAAGAGGACACACAACAAACACTAATAATGTTAGCTGGGATGCTTGCATCACCAAATCCCTCTCTCCTCTGATTCCAAACCACAAAGCGTTCTCAAGATTTCAGCATGAGCAAAGGCCCAAGAAGTGCAGTTTCTTGCACAAAGGTCACAGCATCAGGTACATACGGTATATCACTTTTGGCAAACAAGGTAAACTCACTAGTTTCTCCTTAACAGCTTTTAGGCTTTTTGAGTTATCTACCTTGTAAAATATCCTCCATTGTTCAGAAATCAAGGTTGGTAATTGGCAAGAGCAGAAAACAGAAAATCAATGAGCTTGGAGGAAGTGAGGTTTTAGGTTAATTCCACTACACTGTATGAGGGACTTTTTAGTTTTATGTGGAAAATAAAGAATACAATTATTTTGCTGAGCAAGAGATGAGCGATCTGAGGTACCAACAACCGTAGAGAGTTTACTCTGACTTCAGATGCTACTTCAGCTCTACATAGAGAACAAGTGTTTCCCCCTCTGTCTCTCTTACTATCTTCCCAGTGCTGGGATGGCATCTCTCTTCATTCTCTCCTTCACACTCACTCAGTTTCTCACTGTTCCACACTCTGTTATAATCATGCTCAATTTCAAACCCCCAATTACACATTGTCTATTTCTCATTCTCCATCTCTTTCTGTAGGACTGTATTTTATGGCTTTCCCTTCTTCCCCGTTCTTTCTCTATCAACTTCCTTTTGTCTTTCTTTCCACCTCTTTGAAATGCCCCCTTGCTCTACTGCTTTCCTCCTCTATGTCCCTGTCTGTCGCTCCACTACCTGCCAGTTCCTTGGGGGAGGTGGGTTCTTTGGCGACAGATGGTGGTCTGCTTTTCATCTCAATGGCGACCCTGGAGGAGAAGCGGGACTTGGTGGGCGAGAGCAACTCGTCGTTGGCCAAGGAGTCAGTCCTTGTCATTATGCTCCGTCCACCACACGCCTCCTCTACCAATGCCACAGTGTCTCTCAGAGTGTTGCTAGGCGACATAGCCCTGGACGGTGATAGCGCTTGGTCCTCCTGACTGTCGGGCATTTTTGAGGCAGAGTGAGGGAGGACTTGGACCTGTCCGCCGCCTCCTCCTTGCCCGTTGCTCTGCGGTCTTGGCGCTGTCGCTGCAATGGCTGCTTTTCCGTGGACTGCCCCTTGTTGGCTGTAAACCTTGTATCGTATCATCAAGATGATTATAAAAACCAACACAGAAGCAACAATAATCCCTCCGATGATGATAATCATGGTGCCACCCAGGAAGTGGCTGTGCAATGCCTGGCACTGGCTGAACTCCGTGTCCGTAGTGAATGACAGACAGCCCAAAGGACGAGTTGCAGTCAGTGATGTGACGACATCATCGAACACGGCTAGGACACAAAGATCGTAGTTGCGTCCAGCGGCGAGATCCCGAACCAGGAAGTCATTGCTGCTGGATGGAATCATCCTGCCAAAGCAAAAACAAAAAAGACACGGAGAAATTATGTCAGGCAACTTAATATATTTAAATAAATGAATACACATCAATCAGAACTTTTTAATAAGTTCCCAATTGTTTCTAAACAGTCTTTTGGAAGTATACTTTGGTATTAGTTATAGGAAAAAATACATACATTCGATTGAAACACTTCTAGTTAATTAATTCCCATTAATTGCTACCATGGCTTATGTCTTGTACTCTAGCCAGTAGATCAGTAGATCAGCTGAACTTGCAAAATGTGACATTTTTTGACAGGCAAGCATACATTTAACATGTATGGAGAGAAAAAATCAAAATTCTAAATGACAAATTTGTTTTGAATGGAGCTTTTCTTTCTCAAAATCCCAGTTTTCTGTAAAATATGTCACCGATTATACAGTTCTTTACAATACTATTTGCCGATCACGGATGATCCATATTGGCAGATACCGATCCCTTTGTTGTTTGATTATAGCAGCTGCTCTACAAAGCTCCAGACAATTTTCTTTTTTTGGCCACCATCCAAAGAAATCATTTCAACCGTACTGAAGTCAGTAAACCCTCAACAATTCTAAATGTTATCCTTTTACTTTATTATAGTCATCTGTAGTGTTTTATTTTCTTTATAAAAACACAATTCAAATGATAAGGAAATAAAATATTCTATTTTTATTGATTAAAACAAGTCTTGTCATTAGTAGTTTTAATGATGTAGTATAAGCTGCTTAGAGCTAGTGTAAACAGGTCATAATTCATCTCTTTTATCTATTTATGTTGTGAAAACATCCCCTTCGAAAACAACTGTATTCATTCAAGTTTCTCACCAGCACTACATTTTATGAGTTTACATGTGAACACATCATGATTACATTATAATTTACCTTTTGAATTCTCATTTTCACTGAACAGAGCCTGAACGCATCATAATGTAACTGAACAGAACCTTCATTTGTTAGCTGTTAGCGGTGCTGCCAACCTTACCAGCTCTCCTCCTGTCACTTTAAACAGGGATTGGTTGTCTACAGTGTAACATTATCAGAGATCCGGGACTAGTAAAGCACAAATGCAGATGTCCTGATCGCATAATTACTGAATATCGGCAGATAACAATCGTCAGTAAAACTTTATTTTACACTATGGTGGTTACTGTTAAACTGTGCAATTAATCCTCGGTTCACATGCGTTCCGATCCGTGAGGGGGGATCAGTACGGATCACGGATTGACAGTGGTCCGTTACACAACTAATTACCAGCAAAGATGTGTAATATATCAGTTTTTAAACAGCCATAGAAATGGACAAAATATATTTGGGCGGACAAGTTTGAGATAGAAAAGATACTACGTTAACAAAAAATGGTTCAACCAAATTGCGGATAAATTGATATAAATATAAAATGAGTAATAAGTGATATTGAGTAACAACACCAGACCAGTTTCCGGCCTGTTCCACCTCTGCCCACATGCAACTGTGATGTCAACAGGCTCCTGGAGTTCACCTATCTTGAATTGCAGCAAGGTCAGAAGTTAAACTGCTGGAGGTCTGCAAAGACCACATTTTCAGGGGTTAACTCACTCTTTAAAGGCTTCTTAATTGTGTGACAATCAAAGAGAAGCCCTTATTGTGCTTGCTAAATTATGTCACAATATCTTGTCACAATGACATTGCACGGTGAAGCTGCTCTCATACAAGCCAGATGGACTAACAGCTGGTATCAGAAAGCCAACACACCTGCCAACACAAACTTGCTCTATCCAACTCTGTCTCACCACCACACTGTACCACCAAACAAGCAGCGCAGAGTAATATAACAACACAAAAAAATCCTTCACCAAAATGACTTATGATTACATCTGCTTGTATTGCTCCCTTGTATTCTGTTGTGTGCTATTATGTGAAAGCAACAGCGGTGACACATGAACCATCATCATATATTTCCATGCGGTGCCGCCCGTGGAACAACAGCCACCTCATCGTTCTTATTTCCCCACAGAGTTAGAATTCATAAGCCTGCGACCTGACAAACACTCACACAGATCCATCCCCCACAGCTACAGAGATCATCATCCTCTGATTAAACGCATTCCTGATTCTTACCATTGTATCTCCATCGTTCCCGAGGTAAATACTGTAGCTGCAGTTTTTCCTTGGCAGGTTGCTTTCCTGGGGGAAATCCAAGGGAGAAAAATCTCCCCGGTAAACAGGAGCAGGTGCTTATCTTAGTTGTTCTTTCTCTTCTTGCCTCTACTTTCTCAAGGGGTCTTCAGTGTAACTAGTGGAATTGTCAAACACCCATATGTCATTGCTCCAATTTATCGAAATCATTTGTCCCTTCTGCTTCTTTTTACATTTCCCCCTATGTACTGTATATATGTATGTACATAAGTATTTCTGCCTGTGCCCATCCCTCCACCTTAACTGTATTTCCACCTCTGCATGGAGACAGACGGGCTTTGCAATATAGTCTGAGTGAAACAGAACTGATGGGAGGCTAGTCTGTGTGTTTGTAAAAGCCAGTGGGCAGCAGGGTATTAACTGGCCGAGTCTCGGTGCCAAGCTCATCGATGGCATTGAACCCCCACCAGGAAGTATATCTTGGCAGATAGCTCTGTGTGTGTGTTTCTGTGCATGTGTGTGTGACCTTGTATCGCTGTAAAGTCTGGTGTGAAAGGTGAGTTTTTTTAATAGGAATCGAACCAGGAAACGTTATCTGCCATGATGTCTTCCCCAAGGGTAATAGCATAATTTGAGAGCAGAGCTGGACTGGGGTTCCTGTAAGCAATTTCAAAAGGGGTATTGAAATACTGTAGTCATAGAAAACAGCGCTTCCGTCCACCTTATTCAACTTAAAATACTACAGACTGGGAAGCTCCCAGCTGTGTTTGAACTAAAGGATACTATGGCTGTTTGTCTTTCTTCTTATCTCCAGTGCGACAAACCAAATCATAGTTTATTATGGGGAGAAACATCAGGGAAATCAGTCGGAGACCTGGGGTCTCATTCATAAAACAAATAGGATCCACCCTAATTGATTGCGTATGTACACATGAGAAAACTAGGCCAAAAAAATATTCTCATTTATAAAACCATTTCTTTTACGAATCCCAAATCCACTCGGAAATGTACACACATAGATCAGACTCATCCTGCCCTCCACACGCCAAGATTCAAACAGAAATGGTCGAGGCAAAGCACCTCATGAATGTTGATGTGTAGAAATGTGTCTGCTGATTAATGATTGTTTACGGTGAATCACGTCCACTACCGAGAGGTGGTCCCTGAACATCCTCCCCTGGTAATTCTTCCATTCACATAGTCCTCACAGTGCCAGCACATCTATCATGCAGCATGAAGCACCAGTGTCACAGCAGTATTCATACGTTTCTAGTAATCAGACTGATTGCTTCCAAAATGATATCACCCACCCTAGAGTATCATTTGAAAATTGAAGTTTGACAGGTGAATACAATTTGTTTATTCATTTGAGATTTGTTATTGTGATCTTTTCCTGCTAATTAGGACTTCACGGAGGAGATGGAGTGTGGTGATTGTGCGAGGGCTTTCACTGACTTTATTTCCAGACTTTGCTAATTTACACCATCCATATGTAGAGGTGGTGAAGATGTGCTGAGTGAGGTGACTGGATAAGGAAGAGTGAGGTGACAGTCACCGCGCTGTGTCCTTATCCCTATCAAATAAACCATAAATTAATTAATACAAACCCCGTTCACTGCAACTATTGTACTTGGTGATACATGCACAGACTTAGAAGATTATTAATAATTGAATGTAGAAGTAGCATGTGCTATGAAGTGAAATCAAATGTATGAGAGGAATCATTATACTAGTTGTTTCCAGGTGAGCACATTCTTCTGTCGAGTTCTTCACTGAAATCAGTTGATTTGATTTGTTTTGTTCCGTTTCATGATGACTAGGCTACACTGAATCAAATATTACAGTTACATCCCTCTGTGTTCTGAGGATGCAAGATTTGATGTGCGTCTATTTTCAATCAATCTGCAAATTAATCCGAAGTGCAATGACAGAAAAAACCCAAAATGTTAATAATGAATGATCTTTAACTAGAATCTCGGTAAAAGCATGGCTAGTGAGATGGTACTGAGGACTAAGCGCATTATGTGGAAGTTAGCTGGTGATTCATTTCCATTTGTTATAACACAGAGTTTGCCAAAAATCCTATTTTCAGTGAGTATTCATTATTAGCAATTACCTCTTCACCTTGCTCAAATTGGCTAGGAGTCTCTACACACACACAGACACACACACCACTGGATTTGATCAGGTGCCAGGTCATAAATATCAATTATCTTATCACTGAAGCAGCTCGGATCAATCTAATCATAACTGATCAGTAATCAGTAAACCCCTTCACACTACCCAGATAATCTTTGCACACCATCAGCGTTGCTTCAAAACACAATCTCGCCTACGGTTGTCAGGATGGGCAAATCTGGTGGAAATCCGCCTTGAGAATCCCTTGGTGTCCCCCCCCCCCAGCCTGTAAGTGCTCTGTTCTTAATAGGAATCAATCCGGGAAACCTCCACTGCCCCGAGGCTTTGTTAAAAGGCAGCTGCAGATGAACCGAGAAGTGAGTGGGTGGAATGAGGTGGAGGGAATTCTTGGGGGGGGATGTAATACCACCACCACCTGCCTTGTTAAACTTCAGTGATTAAATGTTCTGAACAGAATTGAAGACTTTAATGCCAATGCTAACATTTGAGTACATGCAATTTTTCTTTCCTATTTTAGACAGAATGGCCTTATAAAGGGTCGCTTATAGAACAACCTTGGAGCGATGAAGGATTCAGAGTCACAACAATGAACCTGGATGTTCAACTTGATGGATGCTTTTCTTATTTACCCACCTATGCTGTTACCAGATGTAGAAACATGATAAAAGCATCCTCAATTATATCTGGTGAAATCAGCATATGGCATTTCATTTGCTCACTGGCCAGCATCTGTTT